GTAGTGACTAATTCGCCTTCTTTGCTGAAAGCCTTGCTAAGATGTTGTCAAACCGTTGCAGCTGCTGTACGCCAAATTTCTGTACTCTGAATAATGACGACACGCCTGACTCCCTCGCCAGGTCTCAGAAGGCCCATTTCAGCCGCTTGTACCCGCGATCAAAGATTTTCAGTTATGGGCTACGACCGTAGGCATCGAAATTAAGATTCACTTGAACACAAAGAGCTTAGCTTTTTGATGTAGCTCTGCTTTAGTCAAAACGGTTATGCTTGTTCACTCAGAAACACCATTATATTCTTCACTCAGTAGGTCCATCTCTTCCTCATTTTCCATCATTAGTAAGCATGACTCCGAGGTCTTGAACTTCTCCGCCTGCTTCACTGCCTCCGTTAATTTGAAGAGAGTAGCGGGCAGAAGAACAAGAGAGCACTGTGCTTTTACATGCGTTCACACTCATGCCGCCTACATAGAATTCGGCTGAGAACTTTTCCAAGGAACACTGTAGATCAGTTTCAGAAGATGCCAATGAAACATTTTCGTCAGCAAACAGCAGCTTTCTCGTCTCGACATCTTCTATGCTGGTATACTTTGGCTATGCCTGACTATTCTGTAAGCTGCACCTGATATAAGAATTTAGTCACTGGATAGCCTGTAGCAACTGGCCATCGATCCCATATGTTTGCAGGCGCGGGACCTTGTCTTGCTTTCTCAGAGTCATCGAAGCACACTGGACGGGCGTACTCCCACGATTTCTCTACAGTCTTGTGTAGGATGAACATATGGTCAGACGTAATTCGACCGGGCCGGAGGCTTCATTCCTCTTCTTGTATCTTGGAGTCATTTATTCCGCGGCAGCTAGTTTCTAGCAATATTGCGTAGACTTTACCCTGGAGGCTCAATAAAGTAATGCCCCGATAGTTGGAGCACTCTCTGTGGTCTCCCTTCATGAACAGGAAGACATGAACAGACCACAACTCCCATTCTCCAGTCCGCTGGTGTCTTCCCCGTAATATCAATTTGACAAATACGTGTAAGCCAGCACATGCCTTGTTCGCCTAATGCTTGAGTATTTCAGTGGATTTGATCAATTCCAGCAGCCAATCCACTTTCAAACATTTCACAACTTGTGTAATTTCATCTACATAAATAGTAATATTAGTTCCCTGCTGCTTTGCAGGCGAGTCTTTCTGTGGTTGCTCAGAGTTAATTAGTTGCTTAAAGTACTGTCTCCTTCGCCGAAGAATATCCTCATCCACGGTAAGAGGGCGTTCAGACTTGTCCTTCAAGACTCTGAGACGGCCCTTCTTTTCACCTCGGAGCCGGCGGATGGTCTGCCCGAATACTTTGTTTGCCGTGGGAAATTCAACTCCAACGCCTCACCGAACTTCTCCCAGGAATCAGCCTTGGCTTTTGCCACTGCTGTGACTGCCGCCTTGCGTGCCTT